TCCAAAGGAGGAAAAGTTAAATCAGCGTGTGACGCTTTAAATGACAAATCCAGTGTCGTAATTTGAGATATCTTGAAAGGAATTTTGACAAATAGGCAAAATGTAATTGAAGATATCTTGAATTATTATTCTTCCTAATCAGAACGTAAATACAGATATCTTAAATTACCATTCCGGATAGACAAAATGTGGTTTTGTCTAGTCAAAATGTATTATAAGATATCTGGAACGTAATTGTTTATGGTCAGACGAAACTGAATTTATGTTAAAAAGGCTTGCCATAGTGATATTACTATACTTTATAAAAACGTGCTTAATGACGTGCGTTAAGCTTTGGTTGTCATTATTAGACAAATGTCTGTTTTTCTTTGAAGGAGTTGTAGATCAATACAAATCTGTATGATAGATTGCCGTTTATGCAAAGCTTTGATCAAACAGATTAGACAGTTTTGTCTCTAAAATATTTTATTTAACACCTTTAGTTTATTCCTTTTAGTCTTTTTTTAAACTGGAAATGGGCAAACTGGCCAACCCTGGCAAAAGTCGAAATCTAGATAAGTCATTTTTTCTTAAAATAAGTACATTTGTTCTTGAATTGAGGAGGTAAAAGAGAGATTTTGCCAATGGAACAAGACACTTAAAATAAGAAAACACAACTGCATTGTCTTATTTCAAGTGCATATTATCTAATTATCTTCTTTTAAGAGTAAAAATACTCATTCCACTGGCAAACTATCTCATTTACCTACTCAAATTAAGTGTAAATGCACTTAATTTAAGAATTTTTTTACTTATTTCTAGATCGTTCTTCCAGTGAATTTGATGCTGGTGTGCTAAAAGACTTAATATTTACTAATTTGTCAAACCGATGCTAAAGTAAATCTTCACGTGATGCTCAACATTCCTCATTTTCAGTGTTCTATAGTAACGAAGTAAAAATACTTCACTACTGTACTTAAGTATATTTTTGAGTACTTTATTCTTTCCAAGAGTATACATTTTTTGGGGAACTTTCACTTTTACTTCACTCCATTTACGAACTTAATTGCATACTTTTACTCCGATACATTTTCAATGTTTAGTTTAGTTACTAAGTAAAAAAACAAAACAAAAAAAAAAAAAACACTAGCGAGAGGAACGCACGTGTTTTGACCCCACCTACTGACTACAAAGTCGGGTCTTGCCTGGACTTGTTCATTAACACCAATAGGATACGCCTCTTTCGCAAAGCCAGTCTAAATTTATCCTACACTTGGTTGTGTTTATTATATTAAGTGAATTTAACCTTCAAAGTTTGCCAAAATGTAAAAAAAATGTCATTCAAACTGCACTTACTTTTTACTTGTACTTTTCACTACATTACTTGAGTACATCTATTTTTACAGTAATTCTTATACTTAAGTACAAGCCATTTCAGACACTCTAAGACTTTTACTCAAGTAACATTTCAGTCAGTGACTTGGACTTTTACCAAATTCATATTTTGGAGAGGTACTTATACTTTTACTTGACTCGGAGATTTCAGTACTTTATACAACACTGCTCATTTTAGGGAAGAAAGGGCTTCTTCTAAGAGTTGTCATAAAATACAACTTTATTCTTGTAATATTATGACTTCATTCTGATAATATTGTTATGTTATTCTCATGTTAAATACAAAGTAGACTGAATTTGCTGTTTTATGTGGTGCTGGTCTGCCATCATATTCTAGTTGAAGGATGGTCGACGCTTTCTTTCTAAAACGGTTCATGGTTTTTATTCTCGTAATAGTATGACTTTATTCTCATTGCAACTTTATTCTCGCAATTTTAAGACTTAATTCCCATAAAATGACGATCGTATTCTCGATTAAAAAAAATCTAGCCTGGCCCTAAAAGTCCGTCGTATTGATCTGATCTGATGANGCAGAGATTAAGGTTTTCTTTTAATTGGTCTTTACAGCTTTTATCATGAGTTCTTTTAGAAGTTTTAGTTGTCTTTATTTAGAGAGCATCCACTGTTTAGAGAGCATCCACTGTGATGTTACTAAGCTATGAGATGTTAACTGACCGTTTTGAGTTTTCAGGCAAGTAACTGCTATAAATTCTAACATTAAAGATATTTTTTTATTACCAATAAACTCTCCTGCTGTGATGAATTCCAGGATATGGATAGAAAAAAAAAAAGTATGAACCTGGTGGAAAAATTAATGTCTGCCTAATGAGGAATATTCAATAGCATGTAACGCAGTGATGTCCCCTCTGCTCTCCTCAGCCTTCATCCCTTTATGCCCATTCTGGCCACATCCAGCGGTCAGCGGCAGTTCCCCTGGCCCGCCGACAGCGAGGGCGACTCTGCCTCCGACACTGAAGGAGGCGGAGGCGTAGAGTTGCAGCAGGAGATCCGGCAGGACAACGCGCTGACGCTGTGGTGGGCCGGACCAGTGAGCCAAGCTGCTGAGGAGAACCAGGACCAGAACACAGCAGCTGCAGAGGCCTCAAGTGTCCCATTAGTTTAACTAGAGCACACAAACCGTGCCATGCCTTTGAGTTGTATCGTTTTTCTTTAAGGAATGCCTGTCTTTTGCTCGCATAAATATCATTTATTCAATGTTTTAGTTTTGCCGTAGAGCGTAGGATCATTTTCCAGCTGAAGGGGTTTATATATAGTAAATAAATGGGGTTCCTACACATTTTTTCTGCATAGAAACGATGCGTGAATGTGTGATCAGCAAATGGGTGGATACATGAATAGTTTTCCAGATTTTGTTATTTTTATTAATCACTTTTTCAGACCTTAAATGAACACTTAAAGCATATTCCAGACTCCTAAAGGCTGCGTTGGAACCGTGAATCCCTCACATAGAGCCTCATTTGGCTCAAATACTAAAATACCTTCATATTTTAGGTGCTGCAGTGAGTTTAGTTCATTCCTGATTAAGTTAATTTTAAACGAAAATGGGTTTACAGATATTTAGTTGATAAATCTAGTATTGAGTTGCTTGAATCTTCAGTGAAAGCTTGTGTCTTTGTTCTGTGTGTATCCTCTGGCTGGAGCTGGAACCGTGGGAGTGTTTGTTTGAGTGTTTGGCTCCAATGCTGCCCTGGAGATTGCTCTCTGCCACAGTGACAATAAGTGCCATTTGTTTCCCCAGGCTTTGCTTTTATAAACCCAGAGTCTGCTGTTTTTCTTACCATGTCCTTTGTAAAGCAGCCCGTGTACTGAGCTGTCACAGCGCATGCCCACAGATGTATATTTTTGTAACGCCGTGCCGATCCTCTGAATGTCCGGTCTGTGAGCAGCCAGCTTAACGTTGTTACGCTCTGTGAAAGTCTTTAATAAGTGGGTGCAGCTGCTAAAGACTGTGTGTTTTGTTTTTTTTCTACTGTTTGTACTTGTCCATGTGGTGACAGAAAAACACAGAACTGTTTAAATAAGTGATTTTTTTTTTCTTTCTTTTGCCAAAATGGGGGATTTCACTTTGCTGCAAGGCATCTGTGCAGGTTTATCTGTCTAACATATGCCTTTTTATAACAAGACACCTAGAAATGAATGTGTTTTTAACGCTGTTGCACTTGTTTAAACTTGTACGTGTTTCCAAGCATTATTTCCTCCACTCTGCAGCAATGGTTTTCTGTCGCTTCCATCCAGGCTGGAGTAAATTAAACTCATATCTCCTCACACCTGATTCATTGACTTGTTTTTCTCTAAATCTACAGCTGAGATCTTGTGACTACAGCACGGCGCTCAGAGCCTGAAGGGACTCTTATTTATGAGCCCCTCCTCTCTCAAACAGACACACATACCCGTATCTCTTCATCTGGAGCAGCGGGGACAAACGGAGCAGAGCTCCAGGCCTGCATTTGTTGTGTTTTGCAGGTTGCTTGGTAATTGTCTCCACCTCAGGAGACGAAACAAGATGGAGAAGGTATTAAAAAAATGAATCCAAAGGCAAAATGATTGAAACTCAGAAATGTAACGACTGATCAGACGGTGTAAAACATTCATTAAATGAATGTTAAGTAATAGGATTTATGTTTAAACCTGCTCTCTGGTGTTGCTCCTTATTTTCTGAGCTAAGAAACTCTGAGCTCTATGTAAGCAACCACCTGTGATAATCTACAGAGAGCTACTTTTGTAAAAGTCAGAGTAAATAGTTTAACTTGAGAGGGTCTATTTTCTTATCAAACCTTTTTTTTTAATGGAATCAGCTGCTCAAAAGTGAATTATTAGCTGTCGTCACCAAAAGGTTTAACATAGACTTCTGTTTGGAGCCAAATACTAGCATAAAAAAAAACATGCATTTTCTTAAATAAAACATCCAACTATTTCTAGTCTTTCATCCTATTAATGAATCCTAGATTTTACAGGGAAAAGTGGCTGCAGTTGATGATCAGATTCTAGTAGTGGTGGATCTCTGTTCATCTGCTGCCCATTCAATGTGTTCCTGTGCCAAAAGTTGTCTATTGTCTATTTTAAATAGGTCTGAAACAATCCAATTAATCACGATTAATTGATTATTGAAATAATCGGCAACTAATTTAGTAATTTAATCTTTAACTGGAGTGCAGAGACTCTAAAACATGCCTTTAGCTGACAGAGTAACCCAGTTAGGGCACTAATTATATTAGAATTGTAAAAAAAATAAATCAACATTTTGCATTCAATAGGGAAAAATATTTTTATCCATCAATATGCTCTATCCAGAACTCCTTAATTGGAAAAGATTTAGTTTCACCTGGTTTCATTTCGTAAAAAACCTCTTGCTATCTGATTATAAATTGATTGAAAAAAAAAAATCGACAGATATTTGCAAAATAATCGTTAGCTGCAGCCCTAAGTTTCAGCAGTCTCGACCAATATTTAAAAGAAAAATGAGATCTGGACAGTCTGAGCATTTTAGATTTAAGCAGAGCACTCCAAATTGTTCTTGAGTTAGAGTTGCATCAATTAAAAGAAAATTAGCCAGTCAAGAAATGACTCAACTATTGGTTAGCTGATTTACTTACTAATGATCATAATATGTGGATTTAATGTGAAAATGATGTAAGTTTGCACAAAATAAAACGTTATATGCAAATATTGGTGTTTCAAAAACAGATAAAGTAAATACATGATTTATCAATCATTTCAGGTGGGGAAAAGTTTTATTTTTAAAATGTTTTATGCTATGAAACCCTATGAAGTCATTACTGACAGAATATTATCCATACATTGGAATAGGGTCAATTATTTCCTGTAACATGACACAGTAAACTGGTGTATTTCCTCTACATCTCCAAATGACACAGCAGGATATCTGGCTTATAAACACATTAAAACAAATAATATGGAGTAGAAATGAGAAGTCTCACTTCGATATAAATTATATGCATTGGTCTCACCATTGCATTTTGTGTAAAACAGGGTTGTTCTTCATTGAGAAGTCATTCTTGATTAAAGATTATTTTACTCGAGTATGACTACAGATACTTCATTTTATTCAAGGTACAGTCAAAAGTATAATGCAAAAAAAAAAAATGTTCTCAAAAAGTTAATGAAGTAGACGTAACTAGTTTACTACTCACCTCTGGAATTAACTCTAGAAAAGATCAAATGAGCAGTAATATTAAATATTAGACATCAACTTTAGCTGAGAGGACCTTCAAATAAACAATAAAAAAGGTCTACAGGTATTAATAAGACAGTAGAGCCAAAGTCGAGGCCTGATTCCTGTAGGAAATCTGTTTCGAGACGTTTAAACTCCTAATCTGTTCAAGTTTTAGCCATTTTGAAATGAATTAGAAAACATTGTTGCCATAGTGACCGACCTCACATGAATACAAAGCCAAACCACAGCTATGAACAGCAGACCAAGCTGGAGAAATGAGTCCCAGCAGCATGATGCTGCTGCCACCATGTTTTACCATAGTGATGTGTTCACACTTCATTATTGATATTTATTTATCAATAATGAAGATAGTTGCACTGGTTTTATTTAGGAGGGTAGTCAGAAACTTAAAAATTAATAGAAATAGATTTAATATTGTTTGTATTTCTCTTTATAAAATGACTCTAAGCCATATTTCCTTTCATCTTTCACCTCACAGTTGTTCTGTTTTATATTGTTCCAATATGTGTAAAAGCTCATTGTGCATGAGATCTACTTTCTGTTTTAGTTTATTTCCTTTTTCCTGAGTTCTGGTCCATGTTAGGGACCCAACACTAACCAGCAGCCAGAACTCGGCTGTATTCAACATCTTTATAAGGTCACGTTTTCACTGGGTTTACTGCTTGTCTGCTGATGAAGTGAAGCATTTTAACACAGGGAGGAGATGGAGGAGAGGTGTAGATAAATAACAGCCATGAATGAGCAAGTAAATAAAATCAATAATGTTGTAAGGGAGCCTTGTTCTTGGTTTAAAAATCTGTGTTTTCTCTGAGCAACTGTAACGTTGCACTTGGCCATATTAATAACCAGCTGTAAACCTGATTAATGTTCATATTTTTTGCACTTCTCATTGATATTTTGTTTATTTCTTTTCCTGAACACTTTCACATTTCATTCCTGGTGTCCCTTTAACCTCTCTGCTGATTTTATCCTAAACCAAAACATTTCATAAACGCACTGTCAAATTCCAGTTTTTTTTCCTTCTCTTTGGAGCCAAATCCACCAGCTGCATGAGTGAAATGCTGATTAAAACATTAAAAGCAATTTTCAGTAATTAAGTTCCATCACTAAACTGACAACTCTAAGGCTTCGCCGTCTAAGTGAGAGGAAAAGACTCGAGAAAACCCAGAAGAATGCTCGTCTTTAATCAGACTCTGAATCCATGTTTTGGAAAATGCCTCTCTCTGCTCCTCGCCAGCCAAAAGTTTACAGAGCTGCCATCTTTTTTTCCCCCAAGGTGCCCGCGGTCTATTCTTTCCACTTGTGCAGCTAATGAGCCAATCCACATCAAGTGTTTTCTGAGTTCCTGCGCTGCCATTTCCATGGCCGAGCATAAAGCGTCTTTCATTAGGATAACAGCTCACACCAGCTGAGCAGTCGCAGATATAGCCACCAGGGAACGGGCGCAGAAAGGAGAGTAATGGGAACTTGATATTAAGGAAGACATTTGAAAACAATTATTCAAACTGCTGGCTGCCTGTTGAATCTCCCGGTCCCACAGTGAAGCACTCAAGCACGACGTTCAGGAGCATCTAGGCTACTGCCGCTGAAAGCTGAGGCCTAAAAAATGTTCATTGCTCTCTGGTTCATCACTGTCACGCCTGCCTTTGAGAGGAAAAATGCTCTTTAGAACATGAAACACCGGGGAAGAGACTTGCTGTAGCTTTTAGAGCTTGTCAAACATGGCATTTCTGAAAATGTCAAAGGGGAGGCGCCTTTATCTCTGCCAGACTTTGAATGGCTTTGGCAGGCGCTTAGCACAAGGCTTCACTCCGACCCGGCTCTGACACGCCAGACGAGCCGAGTTGTTACATCCACTTTTCCTCAGAGTTAATAGATTGTGTGCGGCGGATCCCGGGCCGCCACTTTGTTCGGAACGCCACTCAATCCCCAGCTCAGGCATCGAGGAAGAGTGAAGCGTTCAGAGGCACATCAATCTGTGAAAGATTCACAGAGCGAACGCATCACCAGAGAAATCTCTATGATTCAGTGATAAAGCCTGCAGAGGCAAAGCTACTTTGCATATCCACAGTGTGTTTTCCTGCTTCATTGCATTGCAGACCTCTGCAAACTTGGGCATGTGGAAGCAGAGGATCAAACTTGTTTACAAATGATCTGAAAACTGTGACATGTTCTCAGTTTATCCCCCTAATAAAATTAGGAACAGTTGATTGCATTTAGAAGTTAAATATAGTCCAGCTGTGTGTTATCTAATCTGGCAGTACAGATGGTCGCATCAGCTGCTTAGTGAAATATTCTGCTGTTAGAATCCTGCTTTAGGATGATTTTCTACACTTTGGGGAAAAGGATATAAATTAATCAACACCTATAATCATTCCTCTGGTTTCATGTGATTTCTTCTTTTGGGTAAAACTTTTCTACAGCTACTGTCTTCACCTCCGTGGGGATCAGTTTCAAGTCTAGCAATACCCTGTGTTTAGCTCCAACCAACCTCAAATTAAACCAACTCTGAAGTTCCCCATTGTTGTTGGTTGGCAGGTTAGTGCATGCTTACTAACGGGAAACTGGGGCCTATACTGCGACACACGTGAAAATTAGCCAGTTAGCAAACAGTTGGGCTTCTCTACATGAATTAATGAAGCCACCATGGGGTTTGTTTTCAAACTTTTTCAAATGTTGTCAGTGTCGTTGCCGCTTCGTTTTGACAGAGCCTCCTATATGTCATGATTACACAACTTTTCGTCCTGGTTAAGTTTTCTTTTTGAGATTTCAGTTACACTTTGATTCATGTCTTTCTGTGTTTTCCAGGTAATTGGTTTCATTTCCATTTTGTGTCATTCTAGTTGTTTTCTGGTTTTATTTGAGTTCTTATGTATTTCTTGTTTATTCTCTGTTGCCCCCTTATGTCAGTCTCTCTTCCCTCAGCTCCCTTCTAGCCACTTCTGTTCACACCTGCTCCCAATCAGTTAATTACTCCATCCTTTGCTCTGATTGGTATTTATGCTTCTCCTCTTCAGTTACTGTTTGCTGGATTCTCTTCCTTCCTTCATTCCCTCCTTGACCTATGTGTTCCCTTT